GCAATTTTTAGGCGTGACGGGCAACCCTTTCCATGGATTCGCGTGGTCGAGCGCCCGAACGTGTGGTAAAGTTGCAAGTTCTACATGGATTCGCGTGGTCGAGCGTACGCACATGCTTGAGTAGGGCGACTACACAGCTCGCACTTCGAAGACAAAGGCAGCTACAAGCAAGCTGCATCCACGTACTAATTGCAGTAGCATGAAGCCAACTTGCACGGTGACCACACTGCCTTTCGTGGACCACGGCCTGCGCGACATCCCAACCTCGCAGGGTGCTCTTCTCGCACTGATAGACGAAGTGTCTGTGCAAAGGGGCAACACACAATGGCTGACAGCTAGAACACAAGTGTACGTATGCTGATCGTTGCCCTGAGCTCTTTGAGCTTGGGGTCTTAGGCTTCAGCCAAACCTTTGCCGGAGTCAGATAGATCATGTGGTAGCACGCGGCTTCCCTCCATGTCTCACAGCTCATATGTACGGAAGCCAGAGGCACGCCGTACATCTTACAATAACATTGCACTAGGCATCTATGCACCCGACTCTATGATTCCATGACTCTATGCACTAGCTTCTATGTACTCAGGCTGTGCACTTGACTCTATGACTTTATGTACGTAACTCTGTGACTCTACATAACGCCATACTCTTCGCAACTGATGCTTTCGGGCCACCCGTCTTCTAGTAGTACTATTTTTGATTAGAATATATCATATGATAATAGTATATTGTCCTTATATATATGTATATTGTAAATGTTACAAATATACTAGAATCTGATATTTGTTATACTATAAAATGTTATATTGTGATCTTGGAACGCCAGCCCCCAAAACACAGCCTAAGCCTCAACAAGCAACCTTAAGACCCCTCAGAAACCCCGAACCTTGAAGCCCTTTTCAGCCTTAGGCTGTGGGGCGTGGAAGCTGTGCGGCACAATGGGTCGCTGGAATCTGCGGCGAGGACATTGCAGAGCCTAAAATCGCGGGTGGGGCTGGGGCCGGGCTCGGTTCGTCAATGTTGCTGCGCCGAACCGCGATTTTGAGCGGTCTAAGCTGTCAGACCTCGTAGAGAATCACAGCTAGGTTGCTGAAGCATCGAGGGGGCTTCTGCAAAGTGCAGGAATTTTGAAACCAACGAGCCTGCAGACTTTGCAAGAACAACAGCAGCAGCAGGGTTGGCTGATTTAAGGCTTGACTGTCTTTGCTTCATCAATGCCTTGCGACTTTGGAGACCAAAGACCCAGAACCGACGGTTTGTTGGCTTTGGAACCCTTTTGTGCACTCTTGCCGCAGTCTTATGGAGGTCAATGTAGGTGGCAGCCATGGCCATTCCGATGATCCGTTTCAAGAACTTCTCGCTTCATGCACGCTGCACCTCGAATTATCGTCCCCGAAGCATCGTGGGCCACACTGTGCCGGCCAGGGAAGGGACGGCACTACACTTCCAGGCCTCGTGTGGCAGCAAACACAGGATGCTGGGCAGCATCTGCGGTGCCGTTTGCGCCCTGGCAATCGCGGGCCGGAAAACAACTCATGTCGCAGATGCGGAGAAAGCTTGCACCACCTGCGTGCGGCCGCGGAAGCCCGCTGCACGCTGCAGGCTGCTTTGGAGCTGCAACCACTTCGTGGGCTTGTCTGGCCTAAAGCACTTGACATGCCGTGGCTGCAGCGATGAGGGTGCTACCGAAGAGCTCTCTTTGCAGATGGAGGCCTCATTGGAGTTGCCGCCCTCTCTCCTGTTCTTCTTCAACGCCAAGGCCTCAGAGGACCCACAGACACACATGGTCCAATGGGTCTAGGCTCCACCCACACCTTAACCCGCCCTGACCCCTGCAAAAATGTGCAGCTGTGAGTTTAGCTCCGCAGGAGTTGCCGATTTTTCGGATACCGAGCAAGCAGCTGGTGGAGGCTGGCGTGCCAGTCAGCGATATCAAAGACGTCTGGCAGCGAGACCTGCTCTGGGCTTTGCCCATTGGTACGGAGAGTACATTTCCGTACGACCAGAAGGAGAGATGGCTGGAAATGGCGCTGGAGGACGACTGCCGCGATGTTCTTCTCTCTCCTAGACACTTGACTGTGTGTAGGCGACATTCACGCAGGCATAGTCTGGAATCGAACTGTCTTCTTCACCATCCGGCGTATGCTTTAGTCTTCATTGCTTGCGGCTTCTGTTACAACCGTTAGATCCTGATGCCCACAAGCTTGAGTTTAACAGCCTAAAGCTTGAGATTGCTGCATTGATCACAAAATGGAGATCCTGATAATTAACGTATATCCCAATCAGTTTTGGCATTGACATGCCCAGGATGTCCTCAGCTGATTCTCGGCCTTACTTAAGAATATTGTCCGGGAGTGAATGGCTCGGAGTTGTTCAGGTAATTCATGTGTCTTGCCGTGCTGAATGGTTCCCAATGAAATAGAGCGTGTGAATAAACGCAAGCAGCTAGAACCACTTCTCAGCGTACTGCCGGTGCTGCTGCCGCCGCCCCTGCTGCAGCTGCTGCTCTTGCTGCTGCTCGCTACTGCCACTGCTACTGCTGCTACTGCTACTGCTAATGCTGTTGCTACTGCCACTGCCAGTGCCGCTGCAACACTGCCACTGCCACTGCTGCTACTACTACTACTACTACTACTACTACCACCACTACCACTACCACGACCACGACCACGACCACGACCACGACCACGACCACGACCACGACCAGTAC